AATAAATAAATATAAAATATAAGAGAAGATAAGTATCTAACTAGAGATAAATAACTATAAAAAGGATTAGTATGTAACTAGAGATAAATAAACATAAAAAAAGAAGTTAGTATATAATTAGAGATAAATAAATAGGACGAGGTTAATAACATCTCATTCAATAATTATATAAAATAAAATAAATAAATAGAATGATAAATGTCTCACTCTATTAGATCAGTTATATATTTTTTTTTTCTTTTTTTCTCTCTTTCTCCCTCTCTCTCTTCCCTTTTTCTCTCCCTCTTCTTCTCTCTTTTTTTTTCATCCATCACCCACCTATTTATACTCACTTGACCTCCTAGTGTCCTTAGTATTTTATCTATTTTAAAATTTTTATTTATCACATTTTTTTAATGTTTTAATAGGTTAAGAAATGAGAATTTATCTAAATTATTATTAACATCGACGTATAAGTCATATAAAATAGTGAAATAATAACTATCCCACATCACTACAAAAAAAAAGCCTATTATCTACAAAATATTACCTATGGATAAAAATCCGTAGGTAAATTTTACATTACCTACGGACATTACCCACGGATAAAAATCCGTAGGTAAATTGTACATTACCTATGGAATTCTATCCATGGGTAATTATCCATTACCTACGGATATTATCCGTAGGTAATGTCATCCGTGGGTAATTTCGTAGGTAATTATTATCCATGACCTACGCAATTACTATCCATAGGTAAATTATATTAAACTAAAAGAATTATCACTAGCAAGAATCAAACCCATTACCTTAAAGTTGAAAATCGATACTCCAACCACTAAGCTATTAGGATATTTCTAATAATAATTTACAAATAAATTGTAGTTATATTTATTCGTGTAAATATATAAATACATAAATACATAAATATAAATATATAAATATATAAATATAAATATAAATATATAAATATATAAATATATAAATATATAAATATATAAATATATAAATATATAAATATATCAATATATAAATATATAAATATATAAATATATCAATATATCAATATATCAATATATCAAAATATAAATATAAATATATTTATATATATTTTATATTTATATATTTACACGGATAAATATAAATATAATTTATTTGTAAGTTATTATCAAAATATCCTAATAGTTTAGTGGTTGGAGTATCGGACATAAATAATAAAAATATAATATAAAGGGGAGGGAGTCCTAGTTAATAATAACAAATAAGGGAGTCTCCAACTCTAAGGTACTTGGGTTCGAATCATACAAATGACAATTTCATTAATTTAATAATAATTCAAAGTTCCAAAAATATAATAAATAATATAAAGGGGGAGGGGGTTGTAGTAAATAAAAATATTTTGTTTAGGTGAATGCATTACCTACGGATTATAATCCGTAGGTAAAGTAACATTACCTACAGATTTTGTAGTGCATTATTCAGTTTTAATTTTTTTTAGACAGGGAAAAAAACAATAAAGACGAACAATATCTATTATAGTTTTTGTTAAACAACCATTACAAATTTACGTTTTTTCTAATTAAAAATTGTCACAATTTTTTAAGAATTAATTTCTGTCATAAATATTATTTTTTTTAATATTGTTTAGTTGTTTACAGTGAACACGATTGAATTTCCTCATTTAAGGTGCATATGATTTTATTTCTTTTTTGCGACAAATTATGTGATGGTTAGTTTACTATAGATAAAATTTGTCAAAAAAATATTTTTTTTAAATTAAATTTGCGATAGTATTTTAAATTTTCGTAGCATCTTTCATGTTACATGCAGCGTTGGAGAAACCTGCAGTCGCTAGAGTTGTTAAATCAAATCCTGTGGTAGCAAATTGTGTATCACCAGAATCGATTTTGATGTTTTGAATCGACTCATAGTAATTTACAAGTTGCTCGATGTGGACCTGTGACTCGCACCATCCTTACAAAAGTACCTGTGTGAAAATAGTTGAGTTCACCTCAATCGGAAAGATCTAATAAATTAAAACAAACAAACAAATTTATGATTTAATTAAATTTTATCAGATTGATTTTAATTTAGTCTATTGGCTTAGGGATCAATTTATTTCATAAAAAATAAATATTTTTTAAATGAAAATAAAAATAATACTATTTTATTAAAAAATATATATTAAAAATTAATTTGATAAAATATTTACTAATTTTAAATTTAAAAATAAAAATAAATATTTAATTATTAATAAAGAAATGATAATAAAAAATATATTTTTCATTTTTATTTTAGAATTGAATTGATTTATTTTTTATAATTTATATATTAAATTATTATTTGACCTTTAGATGTAAGTGAAGCTAGAATAAATCGTTCATGGGAGTCCATTGAGAAATATAAGCACTCAAGGGAATTCACATTCACGGTAAGAGGAGAAGAATGTTTGCATGATATTTTTGTTTTGGACAAAATCTATGACATTTTCTAAAGAAATTGGTTTAACTGTATTATTTTATATAGGGTAGCTTTTTTTCTAACTAATTAATTTATATTAAAAATACGTAAATTTGATTTATTGATTATTTTGTTGATTTCCGTTTTCATAAAATCGTTAAAATCTCATTTTATAAGAAATAATTAAATCGCTATATTTAGTTAGATTTGTTGAAAGTTTCACATCGCCTACCTCATGTCATTTAAGTATGGCTTAAATACATGTTAGGCTACTCCACATATTGCCAAATTGGTTTTATGTTAGAACCTTAACATGGTATCAGAGCCAAAGTCTAACATCTTTCCGGTTATTGTCATGAGCCAAAAGTTGTCCTTTAGTTTGGTCAAATGTACCATTTGCCTGGTCCGACAGGCTTCGTTCGAGGGGGTGTGTTGAAAGTCCCACATCGTCTACCTCATGTCATTTGGTATGGTTTAAATACATGTTAGGTTACTCCACATATTGCCAAATTGGTTTTATGTTGGAACCTTAACAACATTAAATTACTTTTATTCCTTGTAATTACACATTCACTACAAGAAAATCGCGTATTTCCGATGGATTTTTACCGACGGATTTGTAGCCGTCGGAAAATAATTATTACCGACAAATATAAAATATTTGTAAAATTTGATGTTACTGACAGATATATCTGTCAGTAATTTATTGATGAATTTACCGACGGATATATCCGTCGGTAAATCCGTCGATAAATTAACAATTAATTACCGACGGATATATCTGTCGGTAAATTAATAATTAGTTACCGAACGGATATATCCATCGGTAAAATTATATAATAATTACTTAATATATTTTAATAATTTAATTATTCACCTAATTAAAAAATAAAATATTTTTTATTTAATAATTTAATTTAATCATAATTAGATTAATTTCTTAAATTAAATAATTTTAAAAAATAAATATTTAATTATATAGAAATATATAAATATATAAATATATAAATATATAAAGATATAAAGATATAAAGATATAAATATATAAAGATATAAATATATAAATATAATTTATTTGTAAATTATTATCAAAAAATTCTAATAGCTTAGTGGTTGGAGTATCGACCTCTAACTTTAAGGTTCTAAGTTTGAATCCTGTCAATGATAATTAATAATATGAAGAAATAATTAAGAGGAGGGAGTTTTATTAAAAAAATATTTTATAAATAATAAAATTATTACTGACTGGATTTTGATCATCGATAATTTTAATATTTCTTGTGGTGATTTTACATTTTTTATCACTTTTTTTTCACTAAGACTTCGTTCGAGGTAAGAAAAGAAAGAAAGAAAAATATATGACAAAGAAAGTAAAAAATATATTTATTTAACAATATGATAAAAAAAAGAAAAAATATATTTAAAAGTAATAAATAAATAAAATAAGTATTTATATGATTACAAAATTGTTTATATAAATATAAATTGAAATTATACATGAGAATGAATAACTTTTTGTAAAGAAAATAATTTTGTAAAATAATATTTTTTATTTTTTTCTTATTTATATATGAATAAAATTATATAATGTGAAAAATAACTTGTTTTCACATTTTTTCTTATCAAATAAGAAAATTAATACTTTTTTTTCTTTTCATGTTACTTTCGATTCTCTACTTTATTTCAAACAACTCTAAATTTTAAATTTTCGTATTCTTTATATGCTTTAGTTACTATTTCAGATTTTACAAATAACCGTAACAATCATAATTATAACATTTCAGTAAAAACTTCAAAGAATTTAGTGATAAATAAGTATATAAATGTAAGTATAATTTCAAAGAATTTAATTCAAATGAGCATTTCAAAAACTACTCTTTAAGTAGCCAAAAAAATCCACTTTTTTAATTATTCCAAGCTACTATAAATATTTTATTTTTATTTGTATGATTAATATTTTCAATTGTGTATTTATTTCAGTTTCTCCTCTTTTTATTTCTAGTTTCAATTAAACTTTTATTTTTAAATTATAATAATGTTTATATTCAAATATTTTATTTTAATTTAAATTCCAAGCTCCTTTTTTTAACCAAAAAGAAAATCTCTGTTTTTACAAAGACTAATAGATAAGTATAATTTAAAATGAAAAGGATTGAAGAAACTTCATCAATAACAAAATGTCCTCACCAAAATAATTAAATTGACTTTGGCGTATATATAATCTCCCTTTTCAAAATTTACGGCATTGAAAGTGCCAAAAACAACGAGCGTGTATGAACACACCCCAGTGGTTCCTCTGTCATCGTTTTCAACTCCGCCCATCTAAGACCAACATCAAAGAAGAGTGAACACCATGTTTATAAATTCAATACAACACACTTTATCGGATGCTATGCATGTGTTTGTTTTCTCAGAATAAATATCTTGAAGCTTCCAAATAGGGTTGCAGATATTTTTTTAGTTGATTATGCAGTTGAATTAAATATTCAGAAGAGGGTTTCATCGTCCTGAATTCTTCATTCAACAGAAATTGTTGTTTACCAAATAGGGTTGCAGGATTAATGGGCCATGCAAAGGGAAAAAAGTGGAAGCATAACCTGATTCTCAAGGCGTGGGAGCGTTGCCCATTTTCAAGGTCACACTTAAAACTAAAGTCATTGTTAGAGAATGATGGTGGTGGTGGTGGTGCTGCTGCTGCTGCTGATTTTGATGATGATGATGATGATGAGAAGGGTGCAGTAGCGCCTCATGGTTGTTTTCCAGTGCACGTTGGAGCAGAGAGAGAAAGGTTCGTGGTGAAGATCAAGTACGTTAACCACCCACTGTTTCAGATGCTGCTAGAAGAGGCTGAAGAGGAACACGGATTTGACTGTGATGGCCCCATTTGGCTTCCTTGCAACGTCGATTTGTTCTACAAAGTGCTGGCTGAGATGGATCGTGAAGAGAAGCATAGCAGCATCACTGTCCACAGTACTCGAAGAAGCTCCATCGCCATTGCTAAGGTTTTTTCTTTCTTCGTTCTTTGCAGACCATCTCGTCTTCTTTGTTACATGAACAAGGATCATAGTGCATACAGTGTTATGGATTCGGAATTGCTGAGGTTAAATCGATTTCAGTAGTATATTCTGATGCGTTCACAAAGATACTCAGTTTCTAAATCATCACCAACCAAGCAAGAGAAAAGATGAAATGTATACTTGCTCATGAATTTATTTGCAGAAGACCACCAAAGATATAACGTTTTCGCTCCAAATATTTTAGTGTAAAGAAACTATGACTTAATTTAAAACTTCAAATTTAAAAATTTATAATTCTCACATCAAGGAGATGAACGGGGAAATCAAGGAATCATTTTTGTAATTTTATAATGATATCTGCATGGTTAATTAATATACATGGTCGTTATTACTTATTCAGTTAATAAATCTTCAAAGCTATAAATGCAGCTCACTATTCATTTAACCTTGCAAATATAAATACAAAAGGAACAAACTCATTAATATTTTATAAATTAATTCTTTTTTTCTTTCTTGATTTTTTTAAGGTACAATAATATACATTTTAAATTTACTCCCTTAAAGTATATTTTTACCTACAAATTTAAGGGTTTGTAATAAAATTGAAGTATATGAAATAAATTTACTATTACATTGATATAGTGAATTAACACAGGATAGTGTTATAGAATGTGAGATTGGGTTTGAAGAGAGAAATAGAAGATATTTTGATTGTCTGTGAAATTTGATGTCTTTATTAGTGAGTTTTGAAAAGAAGATTTAAAACAATTTAGTTTCACCAATTATCACCTTTACATATGAATATCTCCACCTTTAAAATTGTCAATATTTTACTATCATCTCTGAATTTTTACATTTTGAAATTTTTTTTTTATATATATAATTAATATTAAATAAATTATCTATACTTTGAAATTAAATAATATTTAAATTTATTTAATTTATTTTCTGATAAAATATTATATTTATTACTATTAGCAATAGTAATAATAAATTTATAAATAAAATTCTTTTTATAACTATTTTTTGTGACATTATTTAGAGAAAAATATAATTTATATTTATATTATTTTTCCTATTTTCTATAATCACATGTTCCTTCAATCTTTTTTCTCCAATATAAAATAGTAAATAAAAATATTATTTCTTTCTTACTTCCTTAATTACATTATTTTTTTATCTCTTTTTTTCCTTTCTTTCTCTTTTTTAACTCCATCTCACGTTTACTCATCTCTAACAATAAATAAATTCAACAATAAATATTTATATTTTAAAATTGATATATATATATATATATATATATTAAATTTTAATAAATTAATATAAATAAAATGTTAGGAACAAGACAATAATAAAGGAAAGAATAAAGGAGAGAAAAATAAACGACACAAGAATTTTAACGTGGTTCGGCTAAAATATGTATGCCTACGTCCACGACTACACTAGGAAGTATTTTTATTTACGTGTATATCTCAAACTTTACATAGGGTTGCTTATATAACAAAATAGAGAACCTCATCTCACAATCCTAATCGATGTGGGACTAAATCAAGCACCATAATACTAACAATTCTCCCACTTGGAGTTTGATTTACGTTACCACCTAGTGTAGTGCCTTCATCATCAATTTGCTCGAAGGCCGATTGAGGCAATGCAAAGCCTCAACTTAGTTGTTGTAACAGTCTTGGTCAACATATCAGCGGGATTCTCTCGCACTCGGAATCTTCAACAAACTCAAGTCTCCATCATTTATCGGGTTTCGATAAAATGATACTTCAATTCAATGTGCTTACATCTGGAATGAAGGATTGGATTTTTAGCAAGACAAATAGCACTTTGACTGTCACTAAACAACGGAGAACCATCTTGTTCTCTTCCTAATTCTTTTAGAAGGTTCTTCAACCATATCATCTCCTTCGCTGCTTCTGAGATAGCTACATACTCTGCTTCAGTGGTTGAGAGAGAGACCCTTCCTTGAAGTTTAGACTTCCAACTGATAGCTGTACCACCCAATGTAAAAATATAACCTGTTGTGCTCTTTCTACCGTCAAGATCACCTCCCAAGATCCTTCATTTCAAAGCTCTCTGACAATTGTTTCTTCAACTTGTCAATTTCTGCCATATTAGCTCCAACAATCAACATGTCGTCAACATATAAGGCAAGAATGATATAGCTATCAACATATTTCTTCACATAACAACAGTGATCTTCTTCACATCTGCGAAATCCTGAGTTTCTCATAAACTCATTAAACTTCTTGTACCATTGTCTCGGCGCTTGTTTTAATCCGTACAAACTTTTATGAAGCTTGCATACAAGATTTTCTCCGCCTTGTACTTCAAAACCTTTTGGCTGTGTCATAAAAATTTCCTCTTCAAGATCCCCATGTAAGAATGCAGCTTTGACATCTAACCGCTCCAAATGAAGATTTTCTCGCAGCTACTATACTCAAGATAACTCGATGGTAGTCATCTTGACAACAGGAGAGAAAATTTCTGTGAAGTCAATTCCTTGTCTTTGTTGGAACCCTTTCACTACGAGTCTAGCCTTATATCTTTTGCCGCCATCCGGTTCTTCTTTCAACCTATAGACCCACCTGTTTTGCAAAACTTTCTTTCCTTCCGGTAGCTTGGTTAAAGACCATGTTTTATTCTTCTGAAGGGACTTTATCTCATCTTCCATTGCTAGCTCCCACTTAATAGATTCATCTCCCCGCATAGCCTCAAGAAAATGCTCCGGCTCACCAGAGATCGATCAACAACAAATAATGCAATGAAGGGGAATACCTTTGTGGTGCTACAATTGTTCCGCTAGATCTTCTAACTAAGATTTCAGGGAGTTGCCGACTCTACTATTTGTTCAGTGTTCGTCTCAGTGCTCCGACATAGGCTCTACTTGTATATTCTCGCCTTCGGTTGACTACATCACTTTCTGAAATTTCTTCTAATGATACTTGCTCTAGTCGTTTATTTACATTTGCGCATTCTCGCAATCTTGTCTCTATAGAACATGTTTTCATTAAAAGTAACATTTCTACTTCGATAATTTTCTTGTTTTGGTCATCCCAAAACCCGTAGCCAAACATGTCGGATCCATAACCAATGAAATAACAACGTTTTGCCTTAGGGTCCAATTTATCTCTACTATTAGAGTCTAACATAACATATGAAGCACAACCAAAAACTTTCGGATGTGAAAGATTTACCTCTTTCCGCACCATACTTCTTCGGGTAACTTATAGTCTAAAGGAACCGATGGTCCTCTCGTTTATGAGATAGGTCGCTGTGCTTATTGCATCTCGCCCAAAATACCTTGGGTAATCCCGACTGGATTCTCATACATCTTGCTCTCTCATTCAAGGTTCTCGTTCATTCTTTCCGCCACACCGTTTTGTTCTCGGTGTTCCCGGAACTGTCTTGATCATTCCGATCCCATTCTCTCGAACAAAACTCCTTGAATTGACTACTCGTCATATTCTCCACCATTATCGGACTTCAAACATTTGACCTTTAAACCTCGTTTGAGTCTCAACCTCCTTTTTCCACCTTTTAAACACGGAAAACACATCGATTTATTTTTAAGAAAATAAACCCATACCTTTCTTGTAGAGTCATCAATGAAGGTTACATAATATTGTGAACCTCCAAGGGATTTCACCGAAGCCGGCCCCCAAACATCTCGTATGCACTAGTTCTAGTCTTTCAACTTTAGACGACTTACTTGTTTTGGAGAAGCTAACCTTTTTCTCGCTTTCCAAAGATACAATGTTCGCAAGGTCCAACGTCAACATGCTTCACGTTAGGTATTTTACCTTTTGATATCATGAGCTTCATTCCTTTCTCACTCATATGCCCAAGCCTCCGATGCCATAAGGAGGAATTGTTGCCAACTTCGCAACCGATATCATATCCTCATCTCGCAATCATGTAGAGAGATCCTTGCTTCTTTCCACGAGCAACAACAAGATTACCTTTCATTACCTTCCAATGTCCATCTCCAAAAGTGGTGTAATGTCCCTCATCATCCAACCGCCCTATAGATATTAAGTTTCTCTTTAAGGTTGGAATATGTCCGACATTATTCAAAGTCCACACGTTTCCATTAGAGGTTCCGATGTTAATATCACCTCTTCCTATGATATCAAGAGATTTTCCATCTCGCAAGGTAGACCTTCCCAAACTTTCCAGAAACATAGTTAGATAATAGTTCTAAGGAAGGTGTAGTATGAAATGACGCACCCGAGTCCATAATCCATGAGTCAATAGAATTATCTAAACTACATAACAAAGTGCATCTTCAACTTCATCGATTCTGTCGCATTTGCCGATTGATCATCATCTTGCTTCTTGTTGTTGTTGTTGTCCTTCTTTGGAGCCCTACACCGATTTGAAAAGTGGCCCTTTTTCCGACAATTCCAACAAGTGATATCATTCCGGACTTTTGCTTGTGATCTCCCTCTCGGATTTTGATCTCGCCTCGGCCTTGATTACGACCTTTCGGCGACTTCTTCCTCTAGTTTCAAGCACTCAATGCTCGAACTCGAATTAGAACCGAAAGATTCTACTCGAATTTTTCCTGCGAACATCTTCGCTTAAGATCAAGTCACGGATGTTATCAAGCTTCAACTTGTTATTGCTTGCAGAATTACTAACTGCAAGAATGAGCTTGCACCCCAACTTTCCGTAGAGATGATAATAAAATTAATGCTTTCACCTCATCATCAAATATTATCTCGCACCGATGTCAACTGCGCAATAATTGCATTAAATTCACTAATATGATTAGTAACCGAGTTACCTTCACCCATTTTGAGGTTGACTAGCCTCGCGAATCAAATGCACTTTATTGGTCGCAGAGGGCTTCTCATACATATTTGACAACGCCCGCATCAAATCTACGGTTGTCTTCTCGTTCATGATGTTGAACGCAACATTTTTGGCTAATGTCAGCCGGATCACACCAAGCGTCCGCCGATCTAACAACTCCCATTCCGATCGCTCCATGTCGGTTGGCTTCCGCCCTGTCAAGGGTAGATACAACTTCTTCGATACGGATAATCTTCCATCCGCATCTTCCGAACCCGAAGTCACCGCCATCGAAC